TCAGTACGGATTACATCTCAACATAAAAAACACAAAAATCCTCACAACTGGATTGATAAGCAACAGCATGGTAAATGGAGAAAAGATTGAAGTCAGGGATTTTATTTTACTTGGATCCACAGTCAACACCCATGGAAGCAGCAGTCAGGAAATTATAGGTCATATTGCACTGGGAAAATCTGCTGCAGAAGACCTCTTCAACATTTTAAGAAGCAAAGATGTTACTTTGAAGATTAAAGGTGAGCATGACTCAAGCCATGGTATTTTTAATTGCCTTATATGCACGTGAAAGCTGGACAATGAATAAAGAAGACTGAAGAAGAGTTGATGCCTTTGAACCATGATGCTGGCAAAGAATAGTGAAAACATAATGGACTGCCAGAAAAGTGAACATATCTATCCTAGAAGAAGTCCACCCAGAATGCTCCTTGGAAGCAAGAATGTCCAGACTTCACCTCATTTACTTTGGCCATGTTGCCAGAAAGGACCAGTCCCTGGAAAAGGATATCATGCTTGGTAAAGTAGAGAGTCAGTGAAGAAGGAGAAGACCTTCAAAAAGACAGACCGACACAGTGCCTGCAATGATGAGCTCAAGCATAGCCAAGATTGTGAGGATGGCGCAGGACCAGATAGTGTTTGTGCTGTTGTACACAGAGTCACTATGTGTTGGTGCTGACTCAATGACATCTAACAATAACAACAACGTGGCCGCTTTACAGATGAAAAATCTGACATAAGAGATTATTTCCCCAAAGTCACAAAATTAGGAAGTGTTGGTACTGAGATCCAATCAAATATTTTTTGTCAACTACATTATTATTAGGCACTCTGGTGGTGCAGTGGTTAAAGCATTGGGTTGTTAACCAAAAGGTCTGTGGTCTGAATCCATCAGCATTCTGCAGGAGAAAAGAGAGGCAATCTGCTTCCATAAAGATTTACGGCCCCAGAAACCCAATAGGGTGGTTCTACTCTGTCCTATAGGGTTGCTGTGAGTTGGAATGGAGTCCATGGCAGTGGTGGGTGGATACTATGATACTTCTGGCAGTGGCCACAAGGCTGATATAAAAATGAAGCCAATTTAAAATGTACGCCTTAAAATTGGTTCAGGGAAGAAAGATCACTGACCACTTGACTATAAGAAAAGACAAATTTTGGAAAGTTTTGTTATAGGAATAAAATGAAATAGATAAATAAAAGTGGGGATGGTCTCTTAAAAGGAAATTGGACTATCCTCATCAAATGAGTACTGTTTTTGGAAACACCATTTTAAAATCTATTTTATTCTTGCAAGTACTAACAATAGCTCTACCATATACCTAGAACAGTAGAAAGTATTCAAATAGAGTTACAGTCTTTGTCAGTTTAAAATAGAGTGGGACTCACTGTCTTTTCATTAGTAAGTTATCGAAGTTTTATATACGTTTTGGTTAGTAGATATTATCAGATATAAGGTTTCTGAAGATATTCTCCCACTTGGTGGCTTGTCTTTTCACTTTCTGGTTAAGTCTTTCATGAAACAAAAGGTTTTAATTGTTACAAGGTCCCATTTATTTATTTTGTCTTTTGCTATTTGTGCTTTTGTGATTACATTAAATAACCCACTATTAAAAGCTAGGTCTGAAAGACTTGTCCCTACATTTTCTTCTAAGAATTGTATGATTTTAGTTTTCACATTTAGGTCTTTACCCCATTTTGAATTTGTTTTTGTATATGGTTTGAGGCATATATCCTGTTTAATTTTTCTGGATGTGGAATCTCAGTATTCTATTTATTCTATAAATTTTTCTTTTGTGATTGGATATACTTAACACCCTTGTCAAAAATCAGTTGACAACAGATGTGTGGGTTTATTTCTGAACTCTCCATTCTATTCCTTGGTCTGTGTGCCAATTGTTATACTAGTACCAGGCTGTTCTGATTACTATAGCTGTATAGTATGTTTTACAACCAAGAAGTATGAGTCTTCCTACTTCGTCCTTCTCTTTCAACAGTGCTTTAGCTATTCAGGGCCTCTTGCTATTTCATTTAAAGTTGAGGACTGATTTTTCCATTCTGCAAAGAAAGCTGCTAGAATTTTGATTGGGATTGCATTGCATCTATAGATTGCTTTGCATAGTACTGACATCTTAACAATATTAAGTCTTCCAATGTGTAAACAAAAAAAAATCTTTCAATTTATTTAATTGTTCTTTAATTTCTTTCAGCAGTATTTTATAATTTTCATTGTATAAATTTTATCCCTGGTTAAATTCATTCTTAGGTATTCTATTCCCTTAGACGCTGTTTTGGTTATCTAGTGCTTCTATAGAAATATCACAAGTTAGAGGCTACAAGCTTGAATTCAGAGTGCTAGCTTTAGGGGAAGCCTTTTTCTCTCTTCTGGTTCACAGGTAGGAGGGAGATCCTTGTTTTCTTTCAGCATCTGTGGGTCTGGCATTCCTTGGAGATCTCCATGTGTCTTGGCATCAATTTCCCATGTCTAGGAGGTTCCTAGCACTGGGACCCTGGATCCAAAGGACAGGCTCTGCTCCCAACTCTTCTTTCTTGGTGGTGGTCAGGTTCCTCTGATCTCTGCTAGACTGTTTCATCCCTTTTATATCTCAAATGAGATTGACTCAAAATACAACCTAACCCTGTAGATTGCATCCTGCCTCATTAACATAACTGCCTCTCATCCAGCCTCATTAAACATTTACAACACATAGAATAATTACATAAGATCACAAAATGGAGGAAAATTACATAATACTGAGAACTGTGGCCCTGACAAATTGATACATATTTTGGGGGGACACAATTCAATCAATGACAGATGCTATTATAAATGGAATCATTTCCCTTTCAGATTTCTCACTGCTGGTGTGTAGAAAGTCAGTCAGCTTTTGTTTGTTGACCTTGTACCCTGCAAGTTTGCAAAATTTTTCTATTAGTTCTAGAAGCTTTCTTGCTGGTTGAATTTCTGAAACTATTTCCCTGAGATAATCTTTAAACCTTAAACCAAAAAGATCTCCTGAAGTCTTCTTAAAGCCAAACAATAGTTCAGCTTAACTAGTAAACAAAGTCCGCCTGGAGCACTGAGCTCTTCTAAGATCTAGCTGTATGAAATCAAATTGACAACAGCAACTCAAAAGATCTGATAGGAAACTTAGGGGGCAGTGACTGTATGTTAATGGAAGTGAACAACTTGGAAAAAGGCAAGTTAGAATGTCACACAACTTGAAGAATGTAAGCAATTCACTTGTACATGTAGAAATTGTTGAATTGATGTGTGCTCTGCTGTGTATATTCTCAACAACAAAAACAAAATACATTATTTAAAAAAAAAAAAATTGAGTAGGGCACCTCACAGATTCCAAGATGGTAAGGTGTGGCAAAGGAGATAAAAGGGCAAAGGAGATAAAAGAGAATGAGACCTGTTACCCTTGGTTTTTTTGCTAAACCAAAAAAAAAAAACAAAAACTAAACGCATTGCGGTGGAGTCTATTCCAACTCATAGTGACCCCCAATGGGTTTCTGAAGTGGTAAATCTTTACAGAAGTAGATTGCCCAGTCTTGCTTCTGCGGAGTGTCTGGTGGGTTTGAACCACCAACCTCTGGTTAGCAGTCAGATGCCTTAGGCACTGTGCTTACCAGAGCTCCTTGGTTTTCTCCTAAGGCATGAGGAAGAAAGGTGATTATCTCAATGAGAAACAAACAGGATATGCTTTTTCTCATAGACCACAGAAGATTCCATCAGCCAAGTAGCAGAGTACATGTAAAATAAACATGTTGTTGTTGTTATATGCTGTCAAGTCGTACCCGACTCATAGCGACCCCTCCTTGGGTTTCCGAGGCAGTATCACTACGGAAGTAGATTGCCCCATCTTCCTTCCAACGAGTGGCTGGTGGGTTTGAACCGCCAGCCTTCTGGTTAGTAGTCAAGTGCCTTAGGCACTATGCTACCAGAGCTCCCAAAATAAACATAGTTCAATCATAAACTCTATGAGGTGTTTCCCATGTAAGGTGAATTTTAATAAAAGGAAAAAGAAAAGAAATCCCTAAATCTCAGATATGAAGGACACCATTAACTCCTTGCATCCATTGGATGTCAACAGCTACTGGAGTATTGAGCCTGGGCTCTTCATGGTAATGAGAAGAATTCCAAGACAGATGGCATTTTAAAATCCAATTTCACTCTATTTGTCTCCCCACTAACCTACACTGTGTTTAAAGCAATCACAGTCATTTTCACAAGTGGCAATATGTTAAAGTAGTCACTATCCCTTGAGAACACTAAAAGCTCTTTTAATTGCTGTGAGTTTATAAAAAGAGAATAAAAATTATGGAACTTGTGAAACAACCATTTCTAACCAAACACTTACACCCACAAACCCAACACAGTGTACCTCATCTGCATATTTGCCACTGCTCTGCAACAAAACACTTCCTCTCTTTACATTCATTTAATTGCCAGTTCTGTTCTACAGGAATCACTTGCCATCACTGAAAAGTAACTCCGGACACTCCCAATTCTGTGCGCACTGAAACCTCGTTTATTCATCCAGCCCACCCTGCTCCCAGCTACAGGCAGGACTAGGAGGCTGCAGTGTCACGGACTGAAGCCCCCGCCCAGCCTCCGCCTGCCCGCTGGGGGCGGCACTCCTCCCTGTCCCCATTTACTAGAGAACATTCAGTAATATTGTCTTTGTTGGTGTTGTTTAATCCTTAGTAATAAAAACGCCTGTGAGACGGATTCCCCATCCCACCCACCTGACCGAGTCCGCACAAACAACACTCACTCGGATCGTTTTGATGGCACCCAAGCTGCGCGGACAGACAGCCGGGAGGCGTGAACAATGAACTTCTCACTGACTCTCTCTGTCACCCGCTCCCCAAAATGGGAAGTTTTGAACAAGCCCGGGTGCCAATTCCGCTATCCCTGGGCAACTCGGCCGCGGGCGGCGGGGGAGGGCCTGGCGCGCGTCTCCGGCCGCGCCCCTTGCGTCGCCCGGCGGACTTACCTCTTTCCTCCGGCTCGGCGCCCCGGGTCGGGTGATGAGGGCCGTCTCCTCGCACACCACGGCCACGTCTTCCACGAACACGCAGTCCGGGAGGCTTTCGTCTGCCGGCAGTTCCACCACCTGCAGCCCCAGCTTGCTGCCCAGCACGCCCACGTAGAGCTGGTGCTGCCGCTCCGCGCGGGCGAAATCCACCTCCTCGCCTTTGGCGCTCCTCAGAGCATGCTGGCCGAGGGACTCCGGCAGCGCCCGCACCACGGCGTGAGTGGCCCGGCCGAAGGTAGCGGGGTGACTGAGCCCTGCCATGGCTCCAGGAGGCAACGAGGCAGCTGCGCGGGGCTCGGCGGCGGTGCGGGGCGGCAGGGTCCTCCCGCGGGCAGAGCGCGCGGAGCCTGCGAGCGCCCGGCGGCTCCCGTTGGCAGCGGATGAATGTGGTGCAGAAGGAGCCCAGCTCGCGCCCGGAGCCCTGCCCGCGCAACTGAGCATGCCCAGAGCTCCGGGCGCTGGCCCGCGCGCATCCCGCGCGCCTACTCCAGCGCTCCCGGTTTTTGTGGCAGCCGAGATGGGAGTTGTAGGGGAGGGCAGAGCGAGGAGAGGGGCTGGGGAAGGCAGATAAGAAAGCCTTGGGGGCTCGGGGTGTACGCAGATGAGGGGATCTTGGCCAGAAATCACGCTACCAGGACCTGACGTTACCTGTATTCTGCCGCAGGTGCACACTCCATATCGCCCCCAACGCGGACTTTCCGAATGGGCAATGATCTGCATAGAGCTACTGAAGGTCTTGTTTTTGGTTAAGAAGCCAGAGATGAGGTGATTCTGTTGTGGATAAATGTTTTGACCTTCCCCTCCTCTCTCCTGTTCCTGGGTTGCTCAGCACTCGGTATCATGCCCTGAGTTCCTAGTGTGAGAAACTGTCTTTGCATCCAAGTCCACCTTACCGTGACTTTCTGCACATGATCTCTCACCCCACATGCGACCAGAGATTTATTTAAAAAAAAAAAAAAAAGGTGGTGTTTCTTCCCATCTGAGAGAGTGAGATTGGGCAAGAACACACGCGCACACACACAGAGAGAGAGAGAGAGAGAGAGAAAGAGAGAGAAACAGTATTTCAACAACAATCAGGTTCTCATGAACAATGTTCTGCTGTGATTTCCTCCAGGGGCCACAGAGGTAAAGGAGCAAATGTGCCTAAGGCATTTGACTGCTAACCAGAAGGCTGGCTGTCCAAACCTACCAGCTACTCCTTAGAAGGAAGACTGGGCAATCTAGTTCTGTAGTGATACCGCCTTGGAAACCCAAGGAGAGGTCGCTAAGAGTCGGGTTGACTTGACAGCAGTGAGGTTTTTTAAAATTTTATTTTACCTTGCTCAGTGTCAAGTGTATCATCACAGCTACCTTGTCATGGAGCATGCTCTTTTTGGTTTTCTAGTTCCAGGCCTTTGCACATTTCATTATAATACTTTGTCTTCTGGAGTTGCCCCTTGAAATCTTCTTTTTAGCTCTTTTACTTCATCAGTTCTTCCACTCGTTTTAGCTATTTACTCTCCATTCAGGAGCAAGTTTCCCTGTCCCTTCTGACATCCATTTTGGTCTTTTCTGCCTTTCCTATAGTTAATAACCGTTTGCTTTCTTCACATATGATATTCTTGATATCATCACACAACTTGCCTGGTCTTCAGTCATTGGTGTCCAGTGCATCAAAGCTATTCTTCAGATGGTTTCTAAATTCAAGTGGGATATAATCAAGGTCATATTTTGGCTCTTGTGGAGTTGTTTTAATGTTCTTCAGCTTCAACTTAAACTTGCAAATGAATAACTGATAGTCTGTTCAACAGTCAGCTTCTGGCCATGTTTTGAGTGATAGTGAGCTTCTCCATTGCCTCATTCCAAGATGTAGTTGATTTGATTCCTTTATATTCCATCTGGTGGGGTCCATGTATATAGTTACAATTTATATTATTGAAAAAAGATTTTTGCAATGAATAAGCCTTTGGTCTTGCAAAATTCTGTAATGTGATCTCCAGTGTCATTTCTATCACCAAGGCCATATTTTCCAACTACCAATGCTGCTTCTTTGTTTTCAGCTTTCACATTCCAATCACCAATAATTATCAATACATCTTGATTGCATATTTAGTCAATATCAGACTGCAGAAGTTGGTAAAAATCTTCAATGTCTTCATTTTTGGCTTTAGTGTTGATGTGTGAATTTGCACAATAGTAGTATTAACTGGTCTTCCTTGTAGGCATATGGATATTATCCTATTACAGCATTGTATTTTATGATAGTTCTTAAGGTGTTCTTTTTGATAGTGAATGAGATACCATTCCTCTTCAATTTGTCATTCCTGGCATAGGAGACCATAGAATTTTCTGATTCAAAATGGCCAATACCAGTCCATTTCAGTTCACTAATGCCTGGATTTTTTACTTTTATGGGTTCCATTTCATTTTTGATGATTTTCAAATTTCCTACACACATATTTTGTACACTCCACATTCCGATTATTAATGAATGTTTTTATTATTAATGAATGCATTATTAATAAATGCAGCTATGTCTTCCAATATGGAGTCATGCCCCATCAGCAAATGAAGATCCCTGAAACTTTACTCCATCCATGTCATTAAGGTTGAGTCTACTTTGAAGACGCAGCTCTTCCCCAGATGCATTTTGAGTGCTTTGCAACCTGAGGGGCTCATCTTCTGACACTATATCAGACAATGTTTAACTGCTATGCATAAAGTTTTCCAGTATTCATAAGGCTTTCGGTGGCCAGTTTTTTTTTTTTTCAGAGGTAGGTAGTCCCCATCGTTCTTCCCAGTCTGTCTTAGTTGGGAAGCTCCACTGAAACCTGTCCATCATGAGCAACCCTGCTGGTATTTGAAATACTGCGGCATAGCTTCCAGCCTCACAGCAACACACAAGCCACTACAGTGTGACAAAATGACAGACAAGTGGTGGAAGAACATGCTCAGCATTTCTCAAGCTGGAAGAACTGAAGAAAAAATTCAAGTCTCAAATTACAATATTGAAGGATTCTATGGGTAAAATATTGGACAATGAAGGAAGCATCAAAAGAAGATGGAAGGAATATATAGAATCTCTGTATGAAAAATAATTGGTCCACATTCAACCACATTTCAGGAAGTAGCATGATCAAGAACCATTAGTATTGAAAGAAGATGTCCAAGCTTCACTGAAGGAATTGGCAAAAATAAGGGTCAAGGAATTGACAGAATATCTGTTGAGATGTTTCAACAAACAGATACAGCACTGGAAGTACTTACTCATTTATGCCAAGAAATTTGGAAGACAGTTACCAGGCCAACCGACTGGAAAAAATCCACATTAGTGTCTATTGCAAAGAAAGGTGATCCAACAGAATATGGAAATTGTTGAATGATGTCGTTAATATCACACACAAGTAAAACTTTGAGCATAATTAAATAACAGTTGCCGCAGTACATTGACAGGGAACTACCAGAAATTTAAGGCAGATTCAGAAGAGGGTGTGGGACATGGGATATCACTCCGAATGTCAGATGGATCTTGACTGAAAGCAGAGAACACCAGAAAGATGTTTTCCTGTGGTTTATTGACTGTGCAAAGACATTCGACTGTGAGGATCATTACAAATAATAGATAACACTTAATTGCCTTCATGAGGAACCTGTACATATATCAAGAGGCAGTCATTCAAACAGAACAAGGTGGTACTGAAAGATTTAAAATCAGGAGGGGTGTGTGTAGAGGTTGTATCCTTTCACCATTCTTATTCAATCCATATGCTGAGCAAATAATCTGGATAGCTGGACTTACATGAGGAAGAACAAGGCATTAGGATTGGAGGAAGAACCATTAGCAACCTGCAATATGCAGATGACACAACCTTGCTTGCTGAAAATGAAGATGACTTGAAGCACTTACTGATGAAGATTAAAGACTAAAGTCTTCAGTACCTAAACATAAAGAAAACAAAAATCCTTACAATTGGACCAGTAAGCAACACCATGATAAATAGAGAAAAGATTGAATTCATCAGGGATTTCATTTTATTTAAATCCACAGTCAACACCCATGGAAGCAGCAGTGGAGAAATCAGTCTTATAGCATTGGGAAACTCTGGAACAAAAGATCTCTTTAAAGTGTTAAGGAGTAAAAATGTCACTTTGAAGACTAAGGTGCACCTGGTATTTTCAGTTGCCTCATATGCATGTGAAAGCTGGACAGTGAATAAGGAAATGAAGAAGGGTTGATGCCTTTCAATTGTGGTGTTGGTAGGGAATACTGAAAATACCATGGACTGCCAAAAGAAGGAACAAATCTGTCCTGAAAGAAGCACAGGCACAATGCTTCTTAGAAGCAAAAGTGGGCAGACTGTTTCACCTACTTTGCTCATGTTATCAGAAGGGACCAATCCGTGGAGAAGGTTATCATGGTTGGTAAAGTAGGTCAGTGAAGAAGTGAAGACCTGCCAACAAGATTAACTGACACAGTGGCTGTAATTAGGGACTCAAGCATAGCAAGGATTGTGAGGATGGCACAGGATCAGACAGGGTTTCCTTCTGTTTTACATGTAGCTATGAGTCAGAGCTGCTGTGATGACATCTAATAACAACCTTGTCATTGGGAAGCAGGGTTTCTGTCCTCCTCCTTGGCCTTCCCCTCACTTGCATTCAATGTCCGTGGAAGTCTTGTGGTACTTGTTGAACACGTCTTTTTCTATACCCCTTAGATTGGCCATCCTTTCATAATGACATTAGCCTCTTTTCCATACCATTTTCTATACCAGATTAAATAACCTGTGGGTTCTATTCTTTTTGGAGCAGAAAGTCCTCTTTAAGAACCAGGTTCTAACACAAGGTAATAACCATCTTTCCTTACTGTTATGTGGGACATTTATAATTTAAAGATTGGTTAAATCAGAGAACATTAGGTGTAAATGATACTTAAAAAAAAAAACCTCTTTTAACTTCCTTCTGAATGTTCTTAGATTCCAACTAAAACATCTATGACAGTTATCAATCTTTACTTGAACATATAAAACTCATTTACTTACAAAATCTATTCCACTTTTGAAGAGCTATAATGGTTTTTCTAAAAAATCTTAATTTGAGCTTAAATCCCTGTAAATTTAGCCCATTGATGCCAGTTCTGCCTTCTGATACTACCTAAGATTCTTGCATTCTTTCACAAGACAACGTTCACATACCTGAAAATGGTTTTCATATTCATTCTGCCTGACCCTCGCCTCCCATACTGACTCTTTGCAGACCTTTGGCAGGAACCACCAAAAGTAATGATTTGGTTTCTAGTCTCTTCAACATTCTGGTCATCTTCCTTTTGATATACAACACTTGACCTATATCCCTCTTAAATCACAGTTATCAGAAAGAAAACAATTCTTCCTGTGTGGTCTGACCAGCACCC